GAAATGTACGAAATAAAAGATCAAACCGTCTCAGGGTCGGATACTGAGAACCGGCACGTGGGGGATATTGTCCCTGTTCCCCACGGGTCGTCATCATGTCAAGGGCTGACCTCCACGTCTTCGGCGAGCGTGGGGAGTCAACCAACTATCGCCAGTGTGGAGAAGCTGGGTTCCTCGATAACCCTCATTTCGCTGAAAAGACAGGAAATGTCTCCTGGTGGAAATACCGAGGCTGGTCCATCTGGACTTCTTGAGACGATCATTCTCGCTTCTGACGATGAAGAAAATGTTCCTAGTTCTCTTTGTAGAACGGATTACTCGGACGATGAGATGATAGTCTCCGGTGGATCCTCTGGATCGCTAAAGCAAAAGAAAGGCAAAGGGAAAATTACTTCTATTAGTAGAAAGAGGAAGAAGAAGAATTCTCCCACTAATGAAGAAGAGTTAGATGAAGATAGATACGCGGTTCGTTTCACTGTCGATAACAGGAAAAAAATAGACGAAGAAATGGCTGGACTGTCTTTACAACATGCGGCTCAGATAAATCTCAAATTAAGAGAGATGACGAACCAAATCGATTCCATACGTATTAGATCCACGGGTATCAAAGGATCCTTCAGTGGACAGATAAAGATGATGTTAGAAGTGATTCGCAGAACTGGAGATCTTTTGTCAACAAAAGCATCTTCCAAGGAAGATCCAGAATATTGGAAGGCTAGATTCTATGAATCAGAAAAAATTGCTAGTGACAATAAGGCTAAGGCGGATGCTTTAGAAGTAGAGCTCAAAGAAGTTAAAAGAAGAGCAACGATTAAAGATGTATACAACTTTGATTTACCTGATAGTGAATTACCTGTGTTTATGGATGGTGATGATGAAGTAGGTGACAGCTTACCGGCTGTTCCTCCCTCCATCGCAGACAGACTTAGAAGTTCTTCGGTTAAAGTAAGTGAAGTGAGACTAGACAAGGGAAAAACCCCTCATTTGGGAAATGATATACGCGAGGAACCACATGGCCGTGTGGAGCTGGATCTCGCGATCATCCGCTCTCTTGACAGGCTGGGGGAGGGGATGACTCAGCTTATCCAGGAGACTCGACTTCTTAGAGACGATCTAAATTCCGGAGGATCCAAAGATGCCTTTCTCGTTCCTGGACCCCCCTCAGGTATGTCTGGAAAACGAAAAGGTAAGAACAAGAATTTAAATAATATTTCGGGTGGAGAGAAAACTTATGCAGGGGCCCTTGCCTCACGAGTTGCCCATGACGATGTTGAGAACAGAAATCGGTCTCGTAAAAAATCTACTGGTGGAAGTGAGATGTCTCGGGTTGAGATCAGCTCTAAACCTGTAAATATAAAAAATAACATTTTAACTAAAACAATTGATGATAAAAATAGAATTATTAAGAAAAGCGATATAAACACTATGAGTGAGGAAGAGATCTTTGATAATTTTATTGAAATAGATAACAAAAATGAGATTGAGTGGTCAGTTCCGCGTAATAGAAAGAACATTCGTAAAAAGAAGAGAAAAAAATTCACTCCTAATAAGGACAGCACACAATTGGATACAAATCCAGAGTATGATACTAGTAATGATAAATATAATCAATTTGCTAACTCTAATAGAAATTTAAATTATGGTGTTGTTAAAAATAATAATAATGCTAGTAATATTCGAAGTAAACCTATAAACTTTAAAGATAAGGTTGCAAATCTCAAGAGGAAAGTTCCGCGTACCTCTGCAATTACAATTTTATCTGAGGATGCTAATATAACCTATTCTGAAATTTTGCGCATAGCTAGAGAAAAAATCTCCTTGACAGAACTAAATATTCGCGATACAAAAATTAAGAGGTCCATCACGGGTGGAATTCTCATAGAAATACCCGGGGAAGAATCAGACTTGAAGGCGGATATGTTATTATCCAGGTTGACTTATCTATTTAAAGACACAAAAGGTGTTAGAATTAGGAAACCTACAAAAAATTCTCAACTAAAACTGTTGGGATTGGATGACTCAATCTCACTACCAGAAATATGTAATATACTTTCTGATATCGGTAAGTGTTCGAAGGACAGTATTTCCTGCAGTCCGATCAGATTTCTCCGTGGTGGACTCGGCGTTGCGTACGTTCGCTGCCCAATCGCTGCGGCGGTGGGCATCCTCGAGGCTGCAAGGATAAGTATTGGATGGACCACTGTTAGGGTTGAGCCGGTGGATCCGAAGCCCCTCCAGTGCTTCAGATGCCTGGCGGTTGGTCATACCTACCAAAGATGTCCAGAAACTAAAGACAGGAGTACCTGTTGTTATAGATGTGGTGAATTTGATCACAGGGCCTCGGAGTGCAGGAATAGAATCAAATGCCCAGTCTGTGCAGACAGGGGCTTAAAAGACGATCATCCGGCAGGTGCACTGGCGTGCAAGCCTATCCCTCCTGGAAAAATATTAGCTTCTAAGGAAAATGTAAATAAAGATACTGTTAGTTTTCATTTAAATACCTTACCTGAATTGCACACGGAGGAACGGAGGCCTCTGAATACGGCGGAGACGTCCGCTGCCGCTGCGATGGATACTGAAAATTAAAATGGTTAAATTACTTATGTGTAACGTAAATCATTCGAAGTCAGCGCAAGATAATTTGTGTCAACTGATGCACGAGCACAATGCCGGTATTGCGGCAATTACGGAGCCGCATTCAATTCCGGAGGGCGATGACAGGTGGGTACGATCTTTAGACGATCCTCCTCTATCCGCTATCCTATGGCGTAATGTGTCGGGTAGATTCTTGCCAATGCAATCACTTGAATGCGGAAACGGATTCTGTATTGTGCGTTGGAACTCTCTCATAATTTTTAGTTGTTACTCTTCACAAAATATATCAAATACTGCATTTAACGTTTTTCTCGATGACATCACCCTTTTGATAAATAAATATAAACGGTCTCCGATTCTGGTTCTCGGTGATTTTAATGCCCGACATGCCGAATGGGATTCAAAGAAGACTGACACTCGCGGTTTATTATTGGGAAATTGGATGGAGGAGGTTAGTTTATACCTGATTAATAAAGATTATGTTAATACGTGTGTGAGATGGCAGGGAGAATCGGTGGTGGATTTGGTGCTTGCCAACATAACGGCAAGAAACTTGATCATGAACTGTGTAGTAGAACCTAGAGCCGTCACCCTGTCAGATCACAGACTTATTTGCCTGACCATTGGTACGCGTGGTACTAGAAAGAAATATAAAAATATAAATAAAAGGTTTCCCCGATGGAAATATCAAAAACTAGACACTGATATGCTTATGACGGGGGCAATTTTTGCATCTTGGTCTTGTGTTTTAACGGACACAACCCCAGCGCATGAATGCGTCCAATGGCTGGGGGAATCTCTGGGGGAGATTTCTGATCTGTCTATGCCTCGAAACAAGGGATTCTGTAGAAGGTCCTCGTACTGGTGGAATGAGGAGGTGGCGACCTCTCGAGTTTTAGTCGCAAAGGCGCGTCGTGTTCTTTCTCGTGCCAGGAAAAAGGGAGTTTCTTCTGTAATAAATTTAGAATATAGAAATTATAGACATTGTCTTCGTGAATATAGAATAAAAATTACAAATGCGAAACGCCGCGCATGGAGTGAATTACTGGATGACACTAATGATAACCCGTGGGGTTTACCCTTTAAAATTGTTTTGAAAAAACTCAGGCGTCTCTCACTCTGTCTGTGAGACGCTTCCTCATTCGTCCGTTGCTAAAATTGTTAGTACTCTCTTTCCGGATGATCCTGCTGAACATGGATGTACCGTTTGTCACTTTGTTTGGCGGGATGATTTTTCCGTTAGCTTAGCTGAGATGAATAAGGCTTTTAAACGGCTGCATGGTAGTCGGAAGGCCCCTGGGCCGGATGGAGTTCTGGGTGGGATTATTTCGGCTAGCTCGGCGAGCTTCATGGGGGCGTGGAGGGCCTGTTTTGATGCGTGCCTCAGGGAGGGTATCTTTCCGGCAGTTTGGAAGACTGCCAAACTAGTTTTGATAAAAAAGAAAGAAGGTGACCCCTTAGATCCGGGAATTTACAGGCCTATTTGCCTTTTGGATGAGTCTTCCAAGCTGCTGGAAAGAATCATTAACTCTAGAATAAGTGATCATCTCCGGTTGACTGGCTTCCTCTCCGATAACCAGTTCGGTTTCAGGGAGGGGCGGTCGACCGTTGATGCTATCTTGAAACTTAGGCAGGTTGTCAGTGAGGAGGTTAACGCTGGTAAAGTTGTAGTGGCTGTTGCCTTCGATATCAAAAATGCATTTAACACATTGCCTTGGCGCGTTATTCGCTCGGCCATGGCTTCCATGGAGTTCCCGAGTTACCTTTGTAGGATGGTTTCTGCCTACCTGTCGGAACGTAGTCTTGTATATACAGACTCAAAGGGAAGAACGCGCAGGCGGGGTGTGTTCCGTGGAGTTCCGCAGGGTTCGGTCCTCGGTCCGACTCTGTGGAACATTGGGTACAACAGCGTACTCGAATTGGTCCTTCCGACTGGCTGCAGCCTTATTGGCTACGCGGATGACACCATCCTTATTGTTGCGGGAGAGAATATAGGAGAGGCCTCTCATCAGGCGATGATGATATCTGGTCTCGTGATCAATGAGATTGAGAGATTAGGTCTTGAGATTTCACCGCATAAGACGGAGGCGATGGTTTTTCCAGCCTCTGCAACTGGGCATAAAAGGCATAATTTAATAATTAAGGATAAAGAGATCATGATTGCCTCGAATATTAAATATCTGGGTATTTTGCTGGATGGAAATTGGAGATTTAATCAACATTTCGAATATCTATATGATAAAGTTAATAGATCGGTTGGTTATCTTCGAGGTATTATGCCTAATTGCAGAGGTCCACAGGAGAAAGTTAGAAGACTTTATTTGAATGTCATTCTTTCCATGGTCTTATACGGGGCCCCCGTGTAGTCTATTTCCTTTGCGGATAATCGTAGGGCCAAGGTTTTGATGGCTAGACTTCTTCGACGAATCACGCAGAGAGTCTGCTGTGCCTACAGGACTGTCTCATCCGTGGCGGCATCCATTATCTCGGGAACCCCTCCGTTGGAGTTCCAAGCTAGAAGGCTAACGGTTATGTACTATCGTAATCGAGCTGCTATAGAGGACAGAGAAGAGATCTCCCCTAGAACGCGTCTGCACTGGCTCCTAGAAGCCAAGGATCAGGCCTTGCAGGATTGGAGATTGAGTCTCCTTGCTATGAAAGACTCTGATCCTAGTCTACGTTTGCGCGATGCACTTGTAAGTAGATTGGGAGACAGGGTTAACAGGAAACACGGCTGGATCACATACCACATGACCCAGTTTTTAACGGGTCATGGCTGCTTTAATGTATTTTTGTACAAAATTAAAAAGTCTGCTACACCAGAATGTTATGAATGCACAAATGAATTGGACACTGCTCAACATAATCTCCAATTCTGTAAGGCTTGGAGTGTAGAAAGAGGAGACTTGAAAAGAATTGTTGGGAACAATCTGGATCTCCCATCTGTAATTGACTCCATACTGGATAATTTAGATAATTGAAAAGCTTTCTCTTCTTTCTGCACTCGGGTCTTAACCCGTAAAGAAGCGGCGGAAAGAGAAAGACAGACTGCATACAGAGCCCAAATCAAAACTATTGTCAATTTGGACTCTGATTCTTCGAATTAAATTCTTGTCTTTTCTGTATAACGTTAAATTTTAAATCTTAATCTTTAATAGTATGGATATATATATATATATATATATTTATTAAGGGCAACTCGAAAGCCTTACACGCTGCGTGGGTTTGGTGTTGCGTTACTTTAGTTAGTATAATTTTATTGGTTTTATCTTAGGATTAGTTGGTTTAGTTAGTGATTAATAATGAATAATCTCTGTAATTATTTATTATTATTACTTCTTCTTTAGTAATTTCCCGATACTTTGTTAGAGTCCCTTATAGGGCAGTCCTGGGTGAGAGGCAGAGATATGCTCTGGTTAGTAAGCCTGCCTCTCTCCCTTTTACGGGTTTTGAGGACAAGAGGTGAGTTTTTAGCTGGTAGGCGGTCGAGATGCGCTGATGGTTTCTTGGTCTTGGTTGATGTATTTCCCTGATCCTAGCCCTTTCTTGGGATATCCGGCATTTCGTCCGTCGGGGATGGCGGATTCCTGGTTAGGCTGAGGCATTGGAGAGATGCGTATTGGTCAGGCTGAGATAATATCCGGAAGCAAGTCTCGGTCGAATCCAGCACTACCCTGGACCGGGCCAGGGTGTCTTTAGAAAATTTTCTCATCTCGGAAACAAAAAAAAAAAAAAAAGGCTAGGTTGCCTCCCTCTCGTTGTGCGCCACCTTGTCGTGGTGAGAGGGCTCACCGGGGGAATACCTGAAAAGGTGTTCCTGCGGTGCTAAGAGCGCACAGTTCCTTCTTAGGAGGGAACGGGGGTCCGGCTACCCCTCAAAGGACTAGTCCCGGTTAGCCGGTAGGGGTTGGCGGCCCTGACTTCAATCGCCCGGATGCCTGGATCCGTTAGGAGTGTTATTCACTCCACCAGGATAGAGGAGTAAACCTCGAGAAAAAATCCGGGGCCTGACCAGCCTCGTTAGCACGCCGGTGTTCCGGCATAACGGTCGAGCCCTCCATGGCACGTGGGGGGGCGTGGCGACTCACACCGTAACCCCAGTTAATGGGGCCGGGGGCCGGTGCTAGCTTAGCTAGGACGGGCCGCGAGGGTGGTAAAACCTCTATAAAAAGACCCGGGCAGGCTGAGCTCGTTAGCCCTGTGTGGGCAGTCGGCCTAGGAGAAGGATAACTCCGAAATCAAACCACAGGATTGGCGGGGGGAGGTGCGCTGCTCTCCTCCCCGGTTGTACCCGGACTCGCCGCATTCGGCCGGGGGTCGTTCTTCCCCGGCTCGCGCGACCATTCTCACACACACTCATACACACACACTCTTGGCCCCCGTACTCTCTGGGCGCCTTCGCTAATGCGAAGATGCTTGGAAGTCGGGGGTCATGCATGCATTCGGCGGGGGCCCCCGCGCATCGTGGTGATGCGTGGGGTGCCGCTTCCCGTGCTGCATTCACACACACATTCACTCACCATTCATACACACACACATTTCATATACACACACATATCTCACATCATTCACGCCCGCCCGGGTGGGGACCTGTGGTCCGCTTTTGGGGGCCGGCATGTTGGTGGTGAGGGGGCGGCGGCTGTGTCGGGACGCGCTCCTCGGGGGAGTATCCCGCTTTCTACCCGGGGGCGCGCTTTCGGGGCATCCCGTCGTGTTGGATCCGGCGCATGTCGGGCCTCATGCGGGCGGGTGGCGGGGCGGGTCTCCCCGCTGGCCGGTCGGTGGCGTGCGCCGAGCGGGCCAGTTTCTTTTTTGGGGGCCCGTGAGGCGTGCGCGCCGATTGGTGTGTCGGGTCCGGGACAACAGCGCGGAAGTCTCAAGCCAAGGTGGAAGGCATCGTGCCGAGGGCTGAATGGCCGCAGAGACTTAAAAAATGTGCGGTCGCGAACGATCCCTGTGGGGCACCTGGCGCAACCCCACAGTATTTTAGTCGCCTTACCCCGGCAAGGAGGCTCTGCCGGGGCGGACCAGTTTTTCCTACCAAACTCGTGGGATCAAGATGGAGAAACAAAAACAAACAAAACATATAAATAACAGGGATGGACAAATTGATGACGAACCGGCAATTCAACGGCACATGGACGGCGACAAGGACAAGAACATGACGGGAACAAAAGGGGGTACAACGGCCGACGTGGGGGCTAGCACCAGCAAGACCGTTGTGGGAAGACTACGTAATGACGTAGAAGCGTCCAGGAGTGGCGAGGATTCCTCCACTGCTGGTAGCAAAAGAAGGGGGCGGGCGGTTTTCTCCGCCTCGAGTGGGAGCGAGGAGGGGGGAGCCGCCTATGGAACCCCGAAGGGGAAACTGATGGGAGGACCTGGAGGGGGAATGAAGATAACGCCCCCTCCGAGTATAGGAGTGGTGGAAGGTGTTGCCGTCAAAAGGCAAAGGAAGATAAGGAAGAGGGGAGCGGCTACCCCTCCTGAGAAAATCCTCCAGAACGAAGCGCTCTGGAGGGAGGTGAAGAACCTCCGTATGGAAAACGGGAGGTTGAGGGAAGAGATAGAGGAGCTAAAGAGGAGGATCCCACCCCCTCCTCCCCCTGCCTCTATCTCAGAAATCGGTCCAGTAAGCCCAATGCTGGGCTCGATGAGTGGAGCGGCCGATAGGGCGGGGAGAATGGAACCCCCGAAACCGCCGGAGTCCAGAGGGAACCGAGCGGCGGGTAGGTACAGGGAAAGGAGAGCAAATGCCCCTCCCTCCCCCAGCATCAAGGGGGGGGAGGAGATTATGGAAAGGCTGCCGGGAATACTCCGGAAGCTCATCCCGGCAGTCATGGTCGAACTGGGGCTGATCCCACCCCCGGTCACGGCAGCGGGGAAGGACTTTCCCCCTCTAGGGGAGGGGAGAGAGGGGGGTGGAAGGGGAGGAAAGGCCAGGGCCGTCCCCCCTTCCGCCGCCACCCCCTCGAAGGGAACCCCACGTCCGGAACGGACTGGGGGGGGGGCACAACCATGGCCTCCGCAAATCCGATGGCTGCGGGTGAGAGGGGGCCTCCCCCCCCCACTGCAGCAGCCACGGCAGCGGGACGTACCGGCCTCCCACCCCTCCAAATATTTATACACGGAGGTGGTGAGGGGGAAAAAGAAGGAGAAGAGGACTCAAGGGACCAAGATGTCGGCCAATATTGGGCCACAGGCGGGAAAGGGCCCGGCCAGGCCTGCCCCTCCCAATGCCCCCAGAATCCGGAGGCTCCCCAAGACTGCCGCGATCACGATTACGTGTACGCAGGGGGAGTACGTCCGGACAATGAGGGAGGCGAGGGACAAAGTAAACATCGGCGAGTTGGGTATCGCACATCTGGGCCAAGGGAAAGCCAGGACGGGAGCTACCCTCCTGGAGATACCAGGCCCAGAGTGCGACAGAAAGGCCGATGCCCTGGCCGAGGCCCTTAGGAAAGTCTTCCAAGGGAGGGAGGGCATCAGGGTCGTGAGGCCCATTAAGATGGGAGAGCTGAGGATCAGCGGCCTTGACGAGTCGATTGACAAGGCCGAGGTCGCTGACGCAGTGGCCAAAGTGGGAGGATGCCCTCCGAGCAAGTACAAGTCGGGCCATCAGAGCCCCCATCGGGGGAATTTGGCAAAAGGGCAGTATGGGTGAGGTGCCCCCTATATGCTGCGAATAGGGTTGTTGGGGAGCCACACTTTGTGGTGGGAGGATGGGCACGGGCAGGGGTTACTCTACTAGAGGAGAGGCCCCTGCAGTGTTTTAGATGTCTGGAAAAGGGCCACGTACGTGCTCAATGTACGGGCCCTCAGGACAGAAGTAATACCTGCTACAGGTGTGGCTCGCCGGGGCATGTCGCAAGAGGTTGCGAGGCCCCGGTGGGCTGCCCTGTATGCAGGGATAAAGGGCTCCCCCATAGCCATAGGACGGGGGGCCCCGCCTGTAAGGCCCCTAGTAATAAGGGGCGGTTTGGGAAGGGTGGAACAGTGGGCGCGGCTTTGGCCCCCGCGCTCACCCCTAATCTCCCTAAGTCTCCGAGGAGAAAGAAGGAGGAGACGAAGAAGGAAAAGGGCGGGACGAGCGCGGCTTTGGCCCCCGCGACCGTTCCTGCTACCCCCACTAACATGGAAGTGGAGGAAGAGGGGCAGGTGGGCGTGGCTTTGGCACCCACGCCCACTCCTACTCCGGAGATGGAGGTGGATGAAGAGGGGGGGACGAGCGCGGCCGGGACCGCGGGGCTCAACGCCACTGGGGGGATGGAAAAGGAGACGGAGCTGGCGGGCGCGGATTCAGAACCCGCGTCCACCCCCGCAGGTGAGCCAGGTAAGGTGGCGGAAATAACGGGCGCGGACTGGGGACCCGCGTCCGCCACTGAGTGGGGGATGAAGGAAGAGGGGGAAGGGACATTAGGGGAGGCGACCCATATGCCCGGAGAAATGGGAGCCACCTCCGAACTCCTGGAGAATGTTTCCCCTCCCTGGAAAACGGCTGGGGCGCCGCGGG